AAAAAAAAAAAAAAAAAAGGATATTTGATTTTTTAAAAAAAGTTTTGTAACTAATTTATAGGTTTTACAAAATATTTTTAAAATCTACATCTAATTATATAAACTCTTAAAATAAATGTCTTAACTCGAATAATTTAATGTAGATTATATCATTACAAACTAAATTACTAACTAAAGATATAAAATTATGTTTTGACTTTTTTTTTGGACTAAAGAGTAAATTATGTTTGACTAAGAATTACAAACTATACTACTAATTTTGCAACTCATTTCGGAACATAGGAACATCAACAATGAGAATAGAAGGAAGACTATCAAGGTGGAGATATTGTATTGCATCATCTATGGCCACAACTAGCACACCAAACCACTCTTCAAAGCATTGGCAATTGGCAAATGACACTTATTTTTGCAGCATTAGCACATCCGTAACAAGCAAAATTCTAGTTCGTCTCCTAGGGACGAACATACACTTTTCGGCGTTATGAGAAGAAGGATCCAAGAGATGCTGGAGTTGATTCCTTTGATTGAATGTGCACAAAATAAAAGTAGAAATCAGTGATAAGAAAAACAGAGAAGAATCACTAGCGTATAAAAAGAAAACGCATATATAAAGAGTCAATGACAAGAAGAATCAGTGTCAACAAAGAAGACAAAGTTAAAAAGAAAGTGTCGTGAGTGACTTTAGTTAAGAAGTAGTTGGGCTAATTTTTTAGTTAGGTCCAAAGAAATAAGTGTGTTAGTTAATGTCTAGAATCTAAGTGTAGTTGTTATGCCTAAGTATGAGTAGTGTTGCTTGTGTAAGAAAGTTTTGTTCTAAGTCTGAGTGATTAAACATTGGCCTTATTGGATGAAAATTGATTACCCTCCTTATTTTAATTAAAATTGAGTCTTGTTAGATCAAAATTGATAAGCCTTCTTATTTTGATTAAACTTGGGCATTATTGGATCAAAACTGAAAACCCTTCGGGCTAATCTTTGAGTTTACTGTCCATATTTCATTTTTTTTTGGCATGATATTGTCCATATTTCATTGTTTGTCTTATTTATTAGTGAAACTTAAATTTAAGAATAGTGGGAGTTTTAAGTAATTCTGTAACATATTATTTTTCGGTTTAATGCATTTTGATTTTATTTTAAAAAACTAATAATTGGTTAATCCTTTAGGGTAATATAGTGATTACTTCAAAAGCCGACACTGAGGAAAATGAAGCATCTTACAAATCCAACGACCATGGAATGTCATTAGTACAATTGTACAAATATATTTAAAGATGAAGGTAAATTTTCTAAACTAAAATATTGACATTTATCTTATAGATCTTTCTTGATTTTTCTATAATTTTCATAATATATCGGTTAGTCAGCTCGACCGTTCGATCTCCCAATAATAATACAAAATAATTTAATTTATGAAACGAAACAAATTTTCAACACATAATTGATCCAAAGATTTTTTCTTTTCTGAACGTGAAATCTCTTATACGAACCAAGTGGCGTACTAAAATGTTATATGAGCAGAAAAACAATTTGAAACTAATTAACATTGTGATAAGATTCTAGATTAAAATCGTACCAAACCAATTATATTGATTTTTAATATTTATTTATTGTTTTTCAACCCTCAAAAACTTAATATACAAGATCAATCCCAAAGGCAAAGTCAGATTAGGCGCGTACGTATACATGAGTTAATTTACTCTTCAATTTCCAAAGATATAAATATACACAGGACATATTATCGTCTTTAAAGTTAAGCATTCATGTAGTAAGTGCCCATGCTATATATGGTTACAACTTTATCCAAAACACGAGTCAAAACCATAAAACAAAAGATTCGTTATTCACCTTCTAAGTAACAAAGATAACTCTCCAAACATGACCTTACCTTGCAAGCAAAGTATTCTTATCTTCATCTATTATTTCCCATTACTTAACCTTATCTTCGCTAAGATTTTTGTTGTAATTATAATGTTTTTAACGATATATGGGAAGATTCTAAAATGAAACTTACGACAACTTTACATAGCTTTACAACAATTATTTGAAATTTATTGTTGTGTTAGAAAAAAATGGGTCTAATATGGAACTATAATGAGATGAAAAACAATTCTAATGCATATTTGACAACAAAATATATAGATGAAAATGGATCATTCTGTGGAGAAGATCCAATAGTGATTAACTAATTATGTGAGGTGTCAACTTTTTACATATTAAACTTGTGGAAGCAAAGACATGACGAATCGTCACATTGGCCTAACGAAGCTACCAAATTACACAAATGAATATATTACACGGATCATCTTTTATGATTCGAAAGGAATCTTTAGGTTTTGTCAAAAACACAAAGTGACCAACCAAAACCAACGAACCAATTCGGCCGATTTGGCACTTTTCTACTTTCTTTACTTCACTTCTCATTTTCCTCACGAGTTTTAAATATTTAGATTTGGTACCATGCCCTATTTTCTATTATTTTGATATCATATCACCCATAACTCTCAATAATATGCCAAATTTATTTAATAAGTTCATTTATTTGTTATACAATTGAGAAAATTTGACATTTGGGACATTATAAAAGGTAATGATTTATCTATATTATTAATTTCTAAGACTAACGTTAGTCAAAATACAAACAGTGAAAAACATGGAATAATAAGATTTGAGTGTAATAGTTCAACAATTTTCTCTATAACAGGCCAACAAACCTTGAAACTCCATATAATTCAACTCTTGTCCAAACTTAAAAAATCGGGTTTGGTTTTAAAACAATCGTGATTATAATAATATACATGTGATCAATCGAAGATTCGGAGACTAATAAGCTACATTGATCTCCCTAAATTGGAGATCTTCCCTAATTTCAACCCCTAAGCTTTCTACAATTCACCCAAATGACCCCAAATCAAATTTACAATTCCCCCACCAATACATTTTCACTAATAATCAATTCCTCATGTGACCCACTAATCATTGTTCCTTCACATCTCACTCTCACCGTAATCCAATCCCCACCCTCCATATCCCATCTGGTCCCATCCAAACCACCAAGACATCTCAGCCGTCCGATCCTTTCCGAATAACAACCCCACAAGTTTAAACGGTCAAGATCTCTCGAATCCTTCTGTAATTCCTCTGTTTCTTCTTCTTCCTCTTCTTCCACTGATCTCCAAAACGTTTGATCTGTCACACTTGTGGGTGAGCTTGAAACCAAACCGGAAACCAAAGCCGGTTCAATGTCCGATTTAGTAGTCAAAAACGGATGGTTTAGGAGTTGTGTCGCTGTCCATCTTTCCTTTGCTTCCCTCTTCAAACACTTTTCCAAAAAGTCCTTTGCTTCTTCCGCAAGCAAACAAGGAAGCTCCGGAGTCTCACCCGAATACCCAACTCGATAAAGAACCGAAACCGGATCCTCCCTCGAATTCGCCTCTGTCCACGGTGGAGAACCCGTAACCATCTCAATCACCGTACACCCAACCGCCCATATATCACTCTCCTTCCCCTGTTTCTCCCCACGCGCCACCTCCGGAGCCATAAACGCCGGCGTTCCCATAACCGGTGACTCGAATTCTTGGTCAACCCGTTTTGCACACCCGAAATCTGCAATCTTGGCCTCGCCTTTCTCCGCAAGAACCACGTTACTTCCCTTTACATCGCAATGCACGATACCTTCCGAGTGTACATACTCCAATCCTCTTAATATCTCGCGCGTGTACTTCACGACCCGAGTCTCGTCGACTCTGCCTCCGTTTTTCGCCGCCGCGTCAGTCAACGTTCCGTACGGTGCGTACTCCATCAAAATATTATACGTAACGACACCGTTTGACTCTCTTTTGGTTTCTGATCCTCTGTATCCGATCACGTAAGGAGAATTCAACGACGAGAGAATCTTGGCTTCTCTTTGCAAGAACTCTGAGTGGTGAAGCTCGGAGGATTTAACGGCGAGGATTTCATCTGAATTGTGACACGTGGCGGCGTAGACGGTGGCTGTCGAGCCTCGGCCTAGGATTTTTCCTCTAGTCCATTCCATTTGGAGAAGACTAGAGAAGAGTTCTAAAAATAAATTGTTTTTTTTTTTGTATGTTTGTTTGATTTTGCTTTTTTCCACTCTGCTTATTCAACAGAAGCTTTATATAAGGGTGAACGATTTTTTTTTTTGGTTGTGAATTAGATAGTGTATACTTTTGGTAACATCGAGTTTTATCTACCAACGCTAAAATTAAAATTATGAATATAATAACGTAATTATGTTCTTGTGTACACACGTGGATTGCTTTTTGAGGTGGATAACCAAATGTAACCCGTTTCGATTTGATTTGATACTATTTTATGAAAGGTCTAAAAAGAAACCAATAAGAGAGAAATGTGTACAATATGTGAAGTTTCAAGAGTACAAAATTTGAGAAACGTGAGTGAAATATCAACTGGTGTGTGACGTGGCATAGAACGTATCTAACGTAAGTTCGTTGAGTATTGGTGACGTGGTATTTTTTCGTTTTGACGAGCCTGTACTCTTTATATTACAGTCTCTAGAAAGGATGATGTGTCAATATTTGGTTGGTCAAATCAACTTTTAGTTTCTGATACGACCAGAGTTACGTATATCTCTCGAGCGACGTGTCCACAAGGTTTAGATGCTACGTTATGGTTTACAAGTGGCCTAATGTTTTATTTTGTGTAAAGGAAGAAATAATTATTACAATTATTGTTTTGATTTGTGGTTTCTTATGAATTCGGTATTGCAAAAATGAAATAAGTGGAGAGGAGAAGTTGGGCACTTTGGTAGATTTTGATCGATTATCTGCACACTTGGACCTTTCTCGTTACATTTCGTGATCCTTTATATCTTTTTTTGCATATATACTTTCTTCAGACTTCTTGCAAGTTGTTGTTTTTACAAAATTATTTTATAAAATATATACAATTCTTGTCTGAAAATGTTTTTATTTGTTGTCTATCCTATTTTATCTTTCGTTTTGGTCTAATACTTTGAAAAAATTATTTGTTTATAACAGTTATTATTCTGTTTTTTTTTCTCATTGCAAAATATCATTAAGATTTCAATGTTTTAAATATGTCTTCATGCCTACAAACAAATGCAACAAATATTCTCATTTTTTTTCAACTGAGTAACATAAACAAACCCGGGTTATTCACAACTAGCTAGGGAATTGGTCGTTTAATAAAAAAGAAAAAAAAAATTATTTTATTATAATTATAACAGAACGAGCCAAAAATCTGTTAAAAATTTTTAAAACATGGAACAAAAGTTAATACAAATTTAAAATAATTCATACATAAACAAAATAAAGGATCTAAAAAATTAGAGAAGCCTATACATCTTAGAAAATGAAAAACAGTCTGTTTCAAACAAACATTATTATTTAAGACGTCGATTAAAATAGAATTCTCCTTTGAAAATTGTTTTTTGCTAGTTGTATTATATTTAAAATTTATTTTCCTGAAAAATATCACTGGCAAGATTTGGGTTATCATTCTTCTACCGGAGACCAAGGCTATAATATTCAACTCTATATTTGTTTACTCTAATCTAGTCAACTTGTTTGAGATAGATAATAGACGTTCGTTAAACAAATATTGTGACAAGCATACCAAATTTAACAATAAAATAGATTAAGAAGCTTCTTTTAATGAATCGTTTACCTCTTGGAAAGAAAATAAACGAAAGTGAGCGGTGGTTTTAACCACCATTATCGGTTGAGGCTTAAGAAATAATAAATAATCATTTTCAAATATGATTAGGTCTGTTTTATGGTTCTAACTTACAACTTACATTCTAATTAAAGTCAAGTTCACAGATATAACCACGACTAATTAAGCTAATGATGATTTTTCTTTAATTTCCTCATTTTTCTTTCGTTATTTACACTCCAAATAGCTATTTCATTATCAGTTTACGAACTAATTTTGAGAAGAAACATTTAATATGACTTAAATTGCAATATGTCGTTATAGCATATCATATAAATTCTATCTGAATCTCCGAATATCAAAATGGTGCAATAAGCTTCAATTGGGTGTTAAAACTTCATCGTATATAGCATTTTTTCTCTTATATTAAACGCTTTTTGGATTAAGTCAAAAACCAAATGTCAAAAAAAAAAAGGGTCACAAATGTTCCACAAATGGAAATTACAAGCTTTACCCATTTTTTTACTGGAATGGTACCTCAGATTCATGACTGTTTGATAGGTTAATTATTCTAATGTTTTATTTTTTTGATAAATAAACTAATGTTGAATCGTGACTCATCACATTTATATTTTTATTTGTCGGACAACAAGTATAATTTTCGTGTTGTTTGGTAGGCTTTTCCAGTACGCTCTCGTAAGATATGATATACTATTAAAAAAAAAAAAAAAAAAAGAAGATATGATATACTAACAAGTAACAAGTAACAAATATACATAAAACATTCAAATACGGAAATGTGTAAAAAAATAATGCGTGTTTGTAACACATGGCATGAAAACAAGGATGAATGTAAAAAGGGCAAGAACGGCCTACTTTAAGCAACAACCTACTCAATTTTAATTTTAATTATATGAATCTCACTATAAAAGTAAACCAATAAAAAGGGGGAAAAGGAAATAAAATGATTACCGGAAAAATATTTCAGAAAATAAAAGGGAGCAATTATTCAACTTATATACTAACGCAAGAATACAGATTATGAGTTTATGAAGACTTCAGAGACTGTTATTTAAAAGCATGCAAATCTTCAAAAAGTTATTAAAAGTTTGATTGGATCTAGATATTATTATAATTCAAGAAGCAAGATCTTATTTTCAAATTTGTCGCAACCACAAAAATAATTTATTCGTTAAAATTAAAGACAAATTTATTATGCGTGAGAAAAGCAAAATAGACCTCTTTCGTTGCTTCAAAATATAAACTCTAGATATCAAGAGTAAGACATAAGGAACTTTATATTCTCTTCTTTCTGGAAAATTAAATCTATTTGCTTTTTCGCATTATAAATTTACGATAATGAATCAATCTCATATGGTCCATATTTATATAATTTTTTGTTCACTTTATTTCAATCGGTATTGTTTAAAAAGATTTATGTAGCTAGTAAACTTTATTATATGGTGTAAATTAATTTTTTATTATTTGCAAACGATTTGCTTATATTACACCCTAGTCATCGATGATACTCAAAACTCGTGGCAATACTTTAGTCATACAGTATTTTAATTTTATTTATTTATCCGCAGAATAAGACACCCAGCCAATAAAATCCCAAACAATCATCTCCAATGATTAGAAAAATCAATATAATTCTTTTGATAAAACAGAAAAATCATTAGTAGCAAAATATGATTTTCTCGATGTCAATATGAACATGGTTTTAATATTTTTTACATAAATCAAATCCTTGTTTGAAAAATCGTTACGCGCTAGTCGGGCGCTTGGTATGGGCCTAGCGATTAATCGAAAAATTGGATTAAAATCGGGAATTAATCGGGGATTAGTTTTAGGATTATTTTAATATTTTATTGTAGTAAACACATAAAACTATATTTTGAGATAAATTTTTAGGAGTTTTATTATAAATTTATGATTTTTATTAAAATTTGAACATAAGTTATTGTAAAACATCACAAATTCCCAATTTAAATGATTGAATAACAAAAATAAAAAGTTTTTTTATACTTACAATCTAAAAATGATCGGGATATGTAAAATTAGGCAGGGAATAATCGGATTAGACAGAAAGTAAACATATTAGGCGGAGAGTAATCGGATAACTGATTTTTTTAGGAGATTAGTCATTAATCGATGCGGAAAGGGTGGGTCTAGCGATTAAGCGGAGAGTAATCGGGGTAGGCGGGGATTTTTAGAACAGGGAATCAAATAAACAAAGTAAATATAATTTTTATCTATAGATCGTATAACCACAATTCCATATGAGAGTTAATTGAGTGTAGACTGGGTAGTTTATGTGGATATTTACGGTGATCAAAGTTGATCTCCATCTTGTTCTAGATTTCATTCACTGCTCCAAACGTTGGGGTATCAAATATTCTTTTTTATGGTGGATTTTTTTTGTCAAATCTTTTAAGGGTTTTCTAGTTGCAACGGGTGTTTGATCAGTGAATATAATATTAATAGTCCAAAATATATCATTTCAACAAATTTGTTTCTCACTTTTTTGATATTAATTATTTCAAGAAATTTGTTTTTTGTCTCACTTACCATTGGCCATGAATCGCGTGGTTCCTTTAGCCCATGCACGTTTTATGTGTTACTAATTTAGTAGTTATACAGAATCACAATTTGTCGGTTGATTTGATATTAGTTTGATATCATTTGTCGGTATGCGATATACAAAAGAAAGATATTAGAGCAAAACTGAATGACGTATTTCTTATGTTGGTGAGAAAATGTGAACAAAGCTTGGGAAGTGTTTAGCCGCTTCTAGTTGTTAACCGACACTACACTTCAAATAACAAGATCAGCACAAGATCTTCTAAATTGTTTATCAGCCAAAACGTGTTTACTATTTAAATCTGTTTCTCATGTAATGTACTTTTATTTTTGTTTAATATTTTAGGTTCTAATTAGTTAAACTATGAAATTGTGGAACGAAATATTATTGAAAACATTTGTGTGATTGGAAAATTTGCGGATTGGCAAGATTTGTTATAAAGTCTCCAAGATTGAAATATATATGCCCAATATTTTACTTAACATGAATTATGTTAATCATTCAACATATAAGATAATAAAGGCTTGATTAGTTCTTCCGCTAGCATCCCGCTAGCACCCTCCTACCGGTTGTTAGCGGTCGGTTGGTTGTTAGCGGTTGTTAGCGGTTAGTACCAATCATAGAAACCGCTCTGTACCGCTTCAAACCGCTTGAAATCGCTGAATTCAAAAGCTCATTTCCGCAAGCGTTTGCGGTAGCGGTTGGATTTTTTTTTTAAAAAATCAAACGTTTACTTATAATTATTATAAAATATATATGAATCATATATATATCTTTCATCTTTGTATCACGTTCTCATCAGAAACCCTAATCAATATTCTAAAACCTTATTCTCTCAATGTCTTCCACCCAAACTGATGAAAATCAAGAACTAAACGTAAGTATCATATATCCCTTTATTCATTCACCACCTCATATGTAATTCTTTGAATATTTTTCATGGCATCGTTTTTTTCTTTTCATTATGTATTGCTTTGCTTTTTGATTGAATATATGTTTCGATTTGTTTTCTCGAATAGAAATTCACTTGCTTTTTGATTGAATTCAACCTTATTTACAGGTTGTCCTATTACTTGATGCAATTTTTGGTGTTAAACCAGCATAAAGTACTATCTTATTACAAATTTTCTTTATTTTTAAATAAATATTTAGTACTTTATTTATGGTTTTAATTATTAAGCATGTTCAATTTTTCTAATATTATCATAATAATATATTGGTGTTTTTATTTCTTTTTTTGTAATATTTTTTTATTTTTTTGGTTATTTTTTATTTAACTGCTACCGCACCCGCTTGTTTACTAGTCATAAAATTTCCGCAAACGCATACATTTTCAAACGCTAAACCAGTCGTTCAAAACGCTTCGTAACGCTTGAAACCGCAACCGTCCGCTTCAGCAAACTTGTACAACCGCAACCGCAACCGCTGCATTTAAATCAGTCAGGCCCTAACTATATTTAGTAGAAAGATGTGATACGGTGTCCTTCCTATACTTGCA